CTGCAGAGCGGCAAAAACACACAGCAATGGCGGCGCACGGCGGCAGCAATGCCGGCAACCTTCGGCCTGGGCCGGTAAGTCCGGGGACTGGGGCCTTAACTGGCCCCCCGGGCGGTAGGTTGCCAGTCCCTGGCATTGATCATGAAAGGCTGTAAAATGCCCTTAAAGACATGGGAGTGCCAACACATCTGATAGTCCTGATGAGGAATCTGTACTCGGGGAAAAGAGGCTACTGTCAGAACAGAACATGGAGAAACAGAATGGTTCCCAATTAGCAAAGGAGTCAGACAAGGCTGTATCCTTTCACACTATCTGTTCATCTTGTATGCAGAACATATTATAAGAGAAACAGGCTTGGACACAGAAGAAGGAGCTGTGAAAATAGGAGGGAGGAATATCAACAATCTAAGATATGCAGATGGCACTATAGTACTAGCTGAAAACCTCACAGACCTGGAACATCTACTAAGGGAGATCAAAGAAGAACAAAGAAGAAAATGCCAAAGAAGGCATAATGTTGAACATAAAGAAAACAAAAATAATGACCACCAAGGGCCTTCACTAGTTCAACCTAGATAATGAAGAAATAGAATTCCCATCCCTGGGATCAAGCATTCATAGAAATGGAGACTTCAGTCAGGAAATTAGAAGAAGACTAAAAATGGGGAGGGTGGCTATGAAAGAACTAGAAAAGATTCTAAAATGCAAAGATATAGCAATAGTAGCTTCATTTATATACTGCTTCATACCGCACTATGCAGTCTCTAAGCAGTTTACAACTGTAAGCTAAATGCCCCCAACAAGCTGGGTATTCATTTTAGTGACTTCAGAAGGATGCAAGCCCGAGTTGAGACTGGGCCCTGGCTGGTATTGAACTCGCAACCTTCTGGTTTGTGAATGAGTGGCTGTAGTACAGGCATTTAACCACTGTGCCACCAGAGCTCTCAGCACAAAAGTTAGAATCATACAAGCTATTGTACTCCCTATTAGCATGTATGGATGTGAGAGCTGGACAGTTAAGAAAGATG